GTAAATAAAAGAAACAAAAGGAAATCCAATACAAGTCTTGTGTCATAATTTACTTTATTGTTATTCCCTGCTGTACATGAAAATCATTTTTCACGGTTACTATGATACGATACTTGACAATGGAAAACGGAACATAAACAAAGTTGGTTCCCAATAAATTACTCGCTTTACATGGCTAACGGAGGTAAGCCAAGAAACAGTAGTGATGTGGCAAAAAGTGCGCGGGTGAACACCACTATAATGAATTTCACGATCGGAAATTTTATTCGCCAGGTGGGCGAGCAAAATTGGATTTTTTAGTAACCCAGGGCGATCGGGCGAGTGCTAATTTCGAAGACTGAGAACATACCTGTATTCATATTTCTCATCAGTATACTTTTCTGAGTATGATATCTGATCAATAGGCATCTTGATGGGTCTGCAAATTAGAACATAAATACATGAGAGCTCCAGATAAGATGTGTATTTGTTTATTTACACATTAAAGTGATGAAATACAAAACAAAATTTACAATAGCATGACAGTGAAAGAAATTTGGATAAGCTTTTGAATAAAGCTTGAAAGGCATTTAATAGACATTTTTTGAATTTTTTATGATGCTATGCGTTTATGAGCATCAGCAATAGCTAGATCTATTAGATGTCAGACTTGGCCGACATAAACTAAGACTTAACTAAAAGAAGTGGCTAGCCGTACGGGCCCGTATGACTAGCCAAAAGTTCTAGTCCTATGAGAGTCACGCACGGCTAGCCAAGACATTCTGTATTGGCTAGCCGTACGGCACTTTTCAAAGTTATATGGAAGCAGAAAATGCATATGTTAGAGTTATATGGAAGCAGAAAATGCATATGTTAGATCTATTTTATGACTTTAAGCGGGGATTTTAACCAAGAAACAGCAATTGTCTTCGTATGTTTACTTTTTAGAGATTAACCGCCATGTTGCCTACAGTTAAGAAAGTACGAATATCGTTCTTAACATGTCATCTCCAGATGGCAAAAAAAAAAGAGCGTTTGGTTGCAGTTGAATAACATCAATTGAAATAGTTAACAAAATTGTGATGATAATCCTAATTTGTTTCAATAAGTTAAATTTTCAACACCTTTAAATATGAAAAAAGTACCGAAAATTATGAAACAAGCTTCTTTTGCTGTTACGATTAATTTATTCGATCAATGTGCTTAATTAACAAAATATGATTTGATAATTCATTATTCATACAAATAAAACAACAAATCATAAGCGTGGAAAACAACGACATTATATGTTTGTTTGTTTCATTTTACGCCTTTTTTCAACAGTATTTCAGTCATATAGGCGGGTAGTTTCCTAACCATCGTTCCTGGAGAGTTACACCAGTACTAGACTACCTTCCTCCGCGCTAAACTACCAAAGCATCTCCCGGGGATCGAACCCACGCCAGAGAGGTAACTGGATTAGAAGTCATCGACTCTAACCCCTCGACCACGGAGGCGGCACGACATTATATAACTTATAACATGCAACTTTGACACTTTTATCAAGATAACAAGGCTTGCATTACCTATCCATTTTTTTTTTTACAAAATGGTGGAGCATCTTTATTAAAGTGAACACACAAGAACAAATGCGGATCAAATTGTTAAAATCCTAGTTTAAATACACAAAATAACATGCATTTTCGACTTTCATATAATTTTGAAGTGCCGGCTAAACAATAGTGTGTCCTGGCTAGTCGTACGTGACTCACATACGCTAGAACTTTTGGCTAGTCGTATGGCTAGCCACTTCCTAAACTAAAACAATCCTGGAACTTCTGGTGTTTTGGACTAGCTTCTTTAGTTTTTAATACTGTTTAAGATTTGTAGATAAAACAAATGTTATTTGAGACACAATAACTGCTACTCGATTAAACATTCAGGTTTATATAAACGCGGCCTAAAAGATTTAAAAATTCTAAAGACGAATATGCAGACATAGGATATCGCGAAATCATATGACTAGATAAACACGGTCCTAATTTGTAAAAAGATTATCACCTTTTTAGTTGACAGCTGAAATAATGGAATAACTGGATCCTTATCTGCTAGTTGTTGCAGAAAATTTACTTTTATATGTTAAAAAAGTAACCAAAATCTGTGTAAATTTAATTCTATTTTGATTCTCGCGCGTTGTTTTTTTTTACACGGTGGCGTAATGTCCGCACGTTGTGACAATTTTATTCAAGGGATCACTCCACTATTTTTAGGAAGTTGATCAACGGGTCGAACATCCTTAATATTCCCATTTACATTTCATCTATCTCCATAGTAACTAAACGAAGTCCTTTTTTATTCAATTATTTCTGTTTATGTTTGTTATTTTCAAATTATAGTAAACTTTCTTGTTCCTCTAACGGAGAGTGTTCATATTTTAACTTGGAATATGGAAGTGATGTAAACGTGTTTGATAAAATGAATTTATATTTTAAAGAAAATTTTAAGTGAAGTTTCCACATATCCGTGAATATAAACTGCTGTGCAACATAGTTTTAATTCAATTAATGCAAGTCTGTAAATACTAAGCCAATGTCGTTTCCTGTATTTCTATTTCTTATACTGGAAAATGTTTAGGATGAAATATAAATCTGCCATAAATATTAAAAGACTGTCCCATTTTTTTTTAATTAAACACTCCAGGTAATTTTGATGGATATTTACAGAAATTTCATTGAGTCATGTGAATCATTTACCGTTCATTCCAAGTAAATTATAAAATTGACAGGAATTATTACAAAAAACTTATTTTGACCTTCACCTGATTTCTCTCTATATACATGTACCTTTGGATGGGCAAAATGGCATTTAAGCTGTTGAGATTGGTGCATACTTTGTGTATACAGTTCCACCATTTGCAAGACTTAAAGCAAGTAACCCAACAGCCCTTCCCCCCCAAACAAACCCCAAAATTACTTAGCAATTGCAGGGACAAAATAGGTTATTACTCACCATGTGTTGCATTTAGAGTCTCTTTCAATTTATTGCAATGACAATTTAACATACATTAATTTATGCCCATTGTACAAATATATAAAGATCAACAATATAGCAACTGTACTCAGAAAATGAAAACACACTGTTGAATTTTTTTTATGGATAAGATTTTGAAATGGGCAACAATTTGGGGAATGAACAAACATAAAAGACAAGTCAGACTTTTATTTTTCAAACTTTGTATTGCACGGTATATACTTGTCTGAAAGACTCATGTTACAACATAAAAGCACTCACACAACAGTAAATAAACACATTTCAAATATTCAATCTATAAATAATTGTTAAATCATTTTAAAAATATTATAAAAAGTTCTTAACAGCAAGGATTCAATAACATTAAATCAATAGCATTTGTATATTCTGTGAAATCAACCTATAAATAATTGTTAAATCATTTAAAAAATATTATAAAAAGTTTTTAACAGCTAGGATTCAATACAAGAGCGATCAGTAATCACATGTGTCGCCTCATGATGGCCAATTTCATGTTGGGACAAATTTTGTGACAGACGGACGGACAGACAGACGGACAGTGCACAACTAGACTTGGTACTGATCATTCCTGTAAAGTTTGGATAAAATTGCACCAGTAGTTTATGAGGAGTAGTCCGGACAAGCTTTTGCGTATCTGGCAACACAAAGAAAAAAACACCTTTTTATCAAAGGGCCATAACTATGACAAAAATCATTCAACCGGAAAACCCGTGCAATATGCGCAAGGCCTTGAGCTACAGATCAATCCTGTAAAGTTTCATTGAGATTGCATAAGTGGTATAAGAGAAGTAGTCCGGACAAACTTTAAAATTAAAAATTATTAAAGGGCCATAACTCTGACAAAAATCATTGAACCGGAAAAAGCTGACAATATGCACAACTAGACTTGGTACTGATCATTCCTGTAAAGTTTGGATGAAATTGCACCAGTAGTTTATGAGCAGTAGTCCGGACAAGCTTTTGTGTATCTGGCAACACACAGAAAAAAACACCTTTTTGTCAAAGGGCCATAACTCGGCCAAAAATCATTCAACCGGAAAACCCGTGCAATATGCGCAAGGACTTGAGCTACTGATCAATCCTGTAAAGTTTCATTGAATTGCATTAGTGGTATAAGAGAAGTAGTCCGGACAAACTTTAAAATTAAAAATTATTAAAGGGCCATAACTCTGACAAAAATCATTGAACCGGAAAATGCTGACAATATGCACAGCTAGACTTGGTACTGATCATTCCTGTAAAGTTTGGATGAAATTGCACCAGTAGTTTATGAGCAGTAGTCCGGACAAGTTTTGTGACGGACGGACGGACAGACGGACGGACAGCCAGACGGACTGACAGACGACGGAGAAGTGATCCCTATATGTCGCCACTACTCCGTAGAGGCGACACAAAAATCAAATCAATAGCAAATGTACATTCTCTGAAATTCAAGTGATTGCAACTTAGCTATGCTGCTTCATTTTTGTAATATGGGAAAAAGATCTGAAACAAACAAGAAACCTCAAATATCCGCTATCAAACTTAAATCACAGAGCTTAATCAACATGTATATCTGAACTAAAATCAAACTAAACTTATGAATTATTTTGCCTAGTCCCCCCTACCCCGAAATAAAAAAAAAGCTTTTTCTATTATCTGTTGGCTTATCAAATTTTGTTTTGCAAATGATTTGTAAATCATACAAAACCAGTGTTATTGTAAATAAATTGAAATATATTATGTGTCTTGAACATCAACAGTTTTTTGTTCTGTCTTATATAACAATAAATAACAATATATTTTGTTTTTCCATATTGGTCAGCTATAAACAACACATAAATAATTCCACAGCATAACTTTATATAAAAAGTACAAAATATTACTGAAATTCAATTAAAATGATAAAAAACACATATCAAATGTTAAGAAATATAAAAAGCATTTAAAAATTAAAGACATCCTTCAATCTAACACAGAATACTTTGTTACTGCTGTTTTTTTTATACATGTATAAGAAATGACTTTCCAGCTTTCTGAGTGGAGGCCAATCTCAGGTGCTCTTCTTTGCATTAAAACCTGCAAAGGAAAGCACCATCAAAGAACCACCAACCTTTCATATACAAGCTGATTAGCTTTATTAAATAAAAGAGTTTCTAAATACTGAGATTCAAACCCAGAGGTAAATTTGTAAATCACTTGGGAATGATACACACACAGAGCTGTCATTGACAGAATGATATTGATGTGTCGATATTTTTTGTTGATCGCCAAAAACGTCCGTGTCTTACACTGTCCTTTTATTACATAATGGAAATATTTCATAGCAATGATGGGGAAAAAAATCATGCGATGGGTATTTATAAACAAGACACATCATAATTGCATGAACAGAACATCGTTACTGAAATCATTTAAACAGGTATAAAAGTAATTTACGGACAAGCAATTATAAGTAATTAGTAATATATTGGTGTATCATCAATATTTGACAACCTATATCGATATATCACTAATATTCTTGGCACTGAATCAATGATAGCTCTTAATTGATAAATGAATTTTCCTTAAAAAAACAAAAACAACATAATTAAAACAAGCACTGAAGAATACATATAAATATATGAAATGTATACTGAATTTAACTAAGCATAACAATATCAGCTAACAAAAAAACCAACAAACTAAGATATATTTTTTGTCCGTCTGTGTTAATGCTTTAAACAAATATATAAATATATAAAAATGAATAAAAAAAATTTTTTGTGATGTCCTTTAAAAACAAAACAACAACAACAAAATAAACATTTATTTTTGAAGCCTTTAAAAATAAAGCCTCATGAAAAAGTTGCAGTTACTGATTATCTTGAAATATTTAATTTTAAAATAAATCAGTTAAATGGTTTCATACTTTAAGAAAGTTTGAATGACCATACATACATGTACTTAAACAACACTTAAAAAGTGTCTTATTACAAATTCCTGAAAGATTCTACAAAACTAAAAACAAAGAATATTTTCCTAAGCAATATACATGTATACTCTAACAAAAACAAGCTTTTTAAAAACAGAGATCTTTAAAACAAAATGATGGAATGTTGAAACGTAACAAAAGCAAACTGAAATTTCAATGCATTTCTGTAGAAACATGACCTTTGTTACTTAATCTGGCTAATTTTCATAATAATAGACTTGCCCTGGTTTGAATTTAAAACAATTCATTAAGAGTTCTAAACTTTGTTCACTCATACTCAGATTGCTTAAACACCTCATTTGAGTCAACAACCTTCCTTTGCTTGAACTCGCCGTCATATACCAGAAAAATCCCTAAATAAAATACATGTAAATTGTTCTACCTCAAATTCCTTGAACTCTCAGGGCCCATGCAAATTTGTTTGAGAGAAATTTCCCTTTGCTCATATATGAGAAAAGTCCCTATATAATATCAATGTATATTGTTCTTCCTCAAATTCCTTGAACTTCAAGGGCTCATGCAAAATTATTCAAGAGATTATGAGTTTGAGCCGGGGAATTTTGGCATCAAATACTTGAATTTTAATTGGTCAGTCGACAATTTGGTGTCTGATTCTACTGCATATGTAGACTGACAAGAATATATCGTCAAAGCATAGGTTCATGTTATTTAAAAGTGGTGCATTAAATCTTTGCTATAGCCAAATGATTATAAAATGTAACAAAACGGCCATTAACAATACCACTAATACATCAAAAACACAGGACATGGTAACCATGGAGACTCCTGTAAGTTTATCCATCTAGTTAAACTTTTCATATAAAGAAGATAATGTTATATATGTATATAATATATGACATTTTTTGCATTAATTCAATAAAACTCGAGCTAAACTTGCTAAAATCTTTAGTTCCTGCAATATGTAATAACCTTACTAGTAGCGATTTAGCCACAGTAAATGAGTCACAATGCCATTTTGCCTTAGACACAATAGATAAGATTCACTATAATGATTTTTGTGGAAATTTTGTCATAGATATGATTGTACTTTTTTATGTCAAGGATAACCCATAGAATAAGTAGTTAACTGTCGGATATTTTTACAATAATCTTTCTGGCAAAACAAGAAACAAAAAAAAACACCCAAAATAACACTTAGCAGATTAAAATTGTGACTTTGAAGATACGGAGGTATTCACTTTATCACTTGACTTTAAAAATATAACTTTACATGGTAAATAAATGGAATGATTTTTAACAGATGATATTTGTAAGCAACCAAGCATTACTAATAATAAAAGCCTATTTAAATCAATTCTAATAAAAAATACAAGTATTTTTATAAAAAATACAAGTCAAACTTTTCTATAGATAATAATAAACATATAAATATAGTAGTCATTGATAAAGAAAAACAATATTTGGCACTGAGATTTATTGCTTCGCTGCATGGAACACGATATGTAGGTTCTTGATGAACTCTGTAAACACTTCTGTCCATAGGGGGACATTGAACACCTTGGTCCTGAAAATATAATATGTAATATTTCCCACTCAATGACAAACAGTTGGTAAGTGTAACCGATATTTTTAATGCTAAAGCATAAAAAGAAATATTAAATGTTGAACTGTAAATAACTCTGACACAGTCATACACCATTATTTTCCATTTAGTTGCCAAACCATTAGTGTGTTGGTGGTGATAAGAACAACCCTTTGCCACTGGTTTTCCGCCAGTTCAGCATGCATATCCGTGCAACATAACAAAAATCTATACTGTTGACTGTAATGAAAGCCCTTAGCCTGCAGGCAGAAACTGAGTTTACCCATTTCGTCAGTGCAGACCAAGTCCCATGCCCTCTGATCATGGTCTGCACTGTTTGCTATATAGTTGAATTCTATTTTGAAACATTTCCTTAAATGATGATCAGTTTTGTCCAGATTGAAAAATGGACAAGTTCATTTTAGATATTTAGCATGCTATGGGACATTTACAAATTATAAGCAGGTAAATGGCAAACCTACCTTTCTTAATTTCAATTTGCTTACACTAATCCATATGTTTTTATCAGGACAGAAAAAGAAGAACCTAAATCAGCCTTCTACATTGCAGAATAAAATGAATCTCATAGACTCACCTGACATATTTCAACACAAGATGGACATGTGATGTTCCCTAAATACAACCACTGGTGATCTGTATATTGTATAGTCAACATTTGTCCGGGATAATAACACCTGTATTCTCTCTCCATGACGTATATAGTCAACCCAGTTTCTGAACTACACGAATACTCGTAGCATCCGCTCCCTGAGTGAGGCGTGAAAATATTATTGCACTGCCGTAACGCCCATCCGCTTGCATGATTGAAACACTTAGATCTCGGACTATATTTTTCCAGTAAATAGTTCTGGCTAGGTTCTAGGGTGTTTTGTACTAAGGCACATCGTGATCCCCTGATGAAGTCACTATCTTGTTTCCAGACAAACTCCTGCAGATATGGACAGTAATCTGCCAGGGCTACACTGCCTCCAAATCTCCCTGTTTCAGAGTACGGAACCCCAGGTATAGAACTGAAATACTGAATGAAGTTTCAGGTGAATACCTTCTGTGTTAAAATATAAAGTTGCGTGCAAAACCTATTTTTACTTACACCAATGCAAATATGACATATCTTATAAATAGCTGGAATTAAAATACAAATAAATAACAAATAGCATATTTTTATCTTTGCTTTGGTGCCAAATATGATTTTTTTTCATATTAAAGCTGCATAATGCCAGATGTGCCAAAATATTTCAAGAAAATCAAACTTTAGTAAAATGTACTAAGATTTTAACAAAAGTGAAAAAATTCAATATTTTCAAAATTTTCTTATAAGTGAAACTCTAGGTTTTATCATTTTTTGACTCAAAATAAACAAATATTCTCTATTTATTATATTTCAGAATTTACCTGATATTGTGAAGGCAGATTTTTATTAAATTCTGAGAGATTACATATAGCCACAGCCTTTCTATTCCTGGAACAATCAGTCACTGGTTGCCCTCTTGTTGCCTCTATACAGAATGGATGAATATCTTCATTCCTACAACATACAGAGAGAACATACAGTGTCATGTAAAAGGAAATTAAAATATTTTCAAACATATTTATAACAACTAATATTGAAAGACATAAAAATTATCCATCTAAAATTACTGTGATTGATAAATACAACTAGAACTCCGCGAGTCGGATGTGTCGCCTTGTGAACAATGTAGTTTAGGAGAAATGGCCAGTACAAAAATGAAATATGAAAAATAACAAAGGGCAATAACTAAAAAATAATAAGTGCAGAGCAGCAGTTTCTGTGCACTGCACTTCTTATCAATAAGATCTATCATTCTATGATGTTTCAAGTCCATAGCTTTCATACTTGAGGAGAAATGACCAGGACAAAAATAAAGTAAGAAAATCAACAAAGGGCAATAACTCAAAAAATAAGAAATGCAGAGTATCAGTTCTTATGCACTGCACTTTTTCTTAATGAGATCTATCATCCTATGAAGTTTCAAGTCCATAACTTTTATACATTCGGAGAAATGGCCTGGACAAAAGTTAAGTATGAAAATTAACAAAGGGCCATAACTCAAAAATTAAGAAATGCAGAGTACCGATTCTTGTGCACTGCACTTCTTCTTAATAAGATCTATCATCCTATGAAGTTTCAAGTCCATAGCTTTTATACTTAAGGAGAAATGGTCCGGACAAAATTAAAGTATGAAAATAAACAAAGGGCAATAACTCAAAAAATAAGAAATGCAGAGTACCTGTTCTTGTGCACTGCACTTCTTCTTAATGAGACCTATCATCCTATGAAGTTTCAAGTCCATGGCTTTTATACATTAGGAGAAATGGCCCGGACAAAAATAAAGTATGAAAATTAACAAAGGGCAATAACTCAAAAATTAGGAAGTGCAGAGTACCGGTTCTTGTGCACTGCACTTCTTCTTAATGAGATCTATCATCCTATGAAGTTTCAAGTCCATAGCTTTTTTAGTTGAAGAGAAATGGCCCGGACAAAATTAAAGTATGAAAATTAACAAAGGGCAATAACTCAAAAAATAAGAACTGCAGAGTACCGGTCCTTGTGCACTGCACTTTGGGTTATTGAAAGAAGCATGCATACCAAGTTTGAAGTCAATCAGACTTATAGTGACTGAGTTATGCTCCAGACAAGCTTTAGGGGACGCCGACAACGACGCCACCGACAAAAGTAACCCCTATATGTCACCTTTTCAAGGCGACACAACAAGTACAGATTTGATAAGCTTACAGCTTCCCACATAATCCAACTAAAATGATTTATGTAGAAAGTAACTAATACAAGTACTTTTTGTACATTTTTTCTGGTGAAATTTTGTCTGTTTTAAGTCACTGTTACTGTTAAGGTAATATGGCATTAATTTCAGGATAAGGAAAACCAAAGGTGCCTTCCTGTGCAATATATCAGACAAAGCCAGCATCTAGTTGGACCCACTTACCCTCCATAACCTAGCTACATACTTTCCTCTCATAAATAAATACAAAGTGAGTGAGATTTAAACCTTAAATGTAAGTGGTTATTCTTTACCACTCAGCCACAAAGGCCCAGACTTTTCCCATTAAATCCTGACCATTTATAATCAGGTAAAAGATCATTGTAAATTATCCAATAATAAATGTTCACTTGTATAAGCAACAATGAAGCAACTTACTTGCTTAATTTTGTCTCCATCCATTCATAACAACTCTTTGTAGCAAAGTCACAACCAAGGTTCTTACCCCATTCCAGAGTTTTGGCATTGCTGTACTTAACACTGTACCAACTAAAATCACAAGTTATATGAGCCACGTCATGACAAAACCAACATAGTGGGTTTGCGACAAGCATGGATCCTGACCAGCCTGCACATCTGCGCAGTCTGATCAGGATCCATGCTGTTCGCTATCAGTTTCTCTACTTGAAATAGAGTTGGTAAGCGACCAGCATGGATCCTGATCAGACTGCGCGGATGCGCAGGCTGGTCTGGATCAATGCTGGTCGCAAACCCATTATGTTGGTTTTGTCCTGACACAGTTCATATATTGACAATATTCTAGGTATCAGGAAAATGTGATCAATAAATATTGTCTTAGATAACTTTTTTTATTCTGACAGTTAAAATGTTATTTAAGCTGAGTTAAAGTTTTTTCTGATAACATCAAGATCTAATAAGAAAACTTTTCAGCTTAAATAGAGTGAAGAACTGTGTCTGGTACAGATACATATAAGGACATAAGAACAAATGGCACTGTTTCAGTGTTTCATAGTGGCGGGTAACCTGAAGCTCAATTTATAACACTAAAATCAGCAGCAATGCATGATTGTCGAGGCTGCTCTAGTGGCAGGGGTATGATATTATGTCTGTAAAAAACTTTCAAACCAAAAGGTAACTGAATAAGGAAAGAAGCAGGTAAAGTAATATCAATAACATTCATAAAATATTTCAAGCACTTTTAACCCGCTGAATTTGTATAATGGATTTGCCCTGCATTGAATTGGAACAGTCTAGCTGAATTTTAAGGGATTTCAAAATCAAAATAGTTTTGAATTTGGAACAGTACAATTGAAGTTTAAGGGATTTCAATATTAAAATACAAAAGTTAAGCAACTAGTTGTATAATAGAGCCAGGTCCGACTACATTGTAGTCAAGGCCGACTGTATCACTTTCAGTTTAATCAGGTTATCTTTCACTTACTCAAAATATCTAATAAAATATTGATAGAACATTAAAGTAATAGTAAACCTTTGTGGCTATTTTGTTATTTTTTATTCAAACAATTTACCTACCCTGTATCTTCCATCAATGCCAAACTTATTCTTGATATAACAGGATTCTGTGTATATGTCCCTGTCATAAATTCATTCTGCAAGAATAAAAAAAGATTTATATAATTGGTGTCTCTTCTGAAAATTATATTTCAAAGCAAAGAAATTAATAAATACATTAGCTATATTATTCACAAAATTAGACACAATATAAGGTCTTGAGTACTGGACATAAATAAGTTTTCTGTGACAATAAATGAATAAACTTAAGACAAAATATATAGCACCATTTGACCTCCAGTGAAATTTGCGAATAAGTTGGTAATTACAAAACATGTTAATACTGGCCTAGAAACTTTTGTTTGCTTTCATTATTGTGGTTGCAACATATACTTAAAATTTTGGGAGGAAATTGTACAATTACCTCAAACACCCTTTTCTCCCAATGTGTGACAGCTGTTCCATTTATGCCCCCTTGATCTTCCAATTCTCCTCCCTCCAATGTATCACATTGAAAATGAGCACGGACCTCTCTCTATAACAATATAAATCAATGAATGCTTCAGTACAATAAACTAAAACTATATATATGTACATATATTTCTTCATCCATGCCGTGTTTTATAACATGTATTATTATAATTTGGACTTGTTTGCTTTCACCAACACCACAATGTCATGTATACTGCCTATAGTCAGATTAAAAAGTAAATGGAGGAGTCGACTAGCAATGAGTATGGGAATATTGGACACTTTTACCAGTAACATCATTGGGTGAAAGATTTACTGAATAAGGAAGACGAATAACATGTGACAAGAGCACCTCTAGGAAGAACGAAACATCAGCATTCCAAAGATACCTTGATAGTGTCCCCTTCCTCTCAGGAAAAAATTTATTATCAATGACAGGATACAGGCAAGTGATTAAGCTGAAATACTTAATAACAAGACGCCCTCCCATGAAAAAATATAATCTTGACATTAACAAATTAAATAAACTATCATTTAACATCTCCCCCTACTTACAACAACATTTGGTGTAATTATCATGTTGACTTTCTTCTCTATGGTCCGCCCCTTTAGTTTCCAATTATATCTACTGAACTGTTTGACTACACGGTCACTCCACATGTACATTCCTGCACTGGAAAAAAATTAATCAAACATATCTTCTTTGTTAATGGTTTTTTTATTATGATTCTTTTATATGAATTGCATATTATATTTTATGTAATTCTTTTCGAAAATTATATATGCTATGTAAAAAAATTATGTTTATACATACATATGCACATGTTTTATTGGATTACTTATTGTAATATTATAAGGTTCCTTTTACGCGCCAAATGTGACGTCTATTAACGTAAACGTTTCTTTTGTATGTTAACGTCATTTTTCTTTATGTATCAACTGAGGAAGCTGAATAAAGCGAAACATGTTTTGATACTTAATTTGTGTTGGTTTTTGATTCAATTGTCCTATATGAATTGCACAGCACACAGTTATCATTCATGTGTTCAATTTGAAAATGTCCTTTACCAGTTTTGGCATTTAAAATTTCAAATACATGTACTAAATTTTTTTATTGAATAAATTAAGGTATAGTTTGTTTCCAATGCAAAAATATGCAACTCAAAGTCTGTCAATACATCTTGCATAGAAACACAACAATTGGCACCTAAGACAGAGTAACTGTGGTAACATGAAATAATGTTTTCATATTCTTAAATCATAAATGTACATACGCTTCATTACACACTTTTCTGACACCTCTCTTAACTAAGTTACAACCATGGCTGGCAAAATCTGATTTTGCCATACTTGTCAGTTTTCCTTAAAGCATTTCTTCACTCGTCTGAATGATATTAATTAAGTAAATTCTGGAGAAAAAAAAGCACTTCTCCATACAAGTTTGGGAAACCTGGGCAGTACTGACAATTGAATTTGCCGCCCCTGGTTACAACTAGCTTCATATATGATGTAATCAAAAACTCTTAGCCTGTGGGCAGCTTAATAATCTACCCAAGTGACCAGTGCAGACCAGGATCAGCTGGCATTTGTGTACTAACTGATCATGGCCTGCACTTTTTGCTATCAGTCAGTAAATATTTTAAACATTTCCCTACAAATCATGAATGATTTTGTCCACACTTGAAGATGAACAAGTCCACTTAAGATTTTTTGTGTTATTAAAACATTATTCTTCCCAAATTTTTTACAAATTATATGAATGGGGAAGTGAAATATGACTAAAATAATAAAATATCTTTATGAAAAACTGGACATTTTTTGCATAAATCTATAATAACAACAATGTATTTAAGCAAATCAAAGACAACATCTAATGATAAATTGAGCCGTGTCACGACAAAACCAACATAATGGGTTTGCGACCAGCATGGATCCAGACCAGCCTGCGCATCCGCGCAGTCTGATCAGGATCCATGCTGTTCTCTATCAGTTTCTCTACTTGTTAAAGGGTTTGTAAGCGAACAACATGGATCCTGATCAGACTGCGCGGATGCGCAGGCTGGTCTGGATCCATGCTGGTCGCAAACCCATTATGTTGGTTTTGTCGTGACGCGGCTCAGTTTCTTGTTCTCACTTTCTATCAAACACGAGAGGTTTGCCAGTCAGTCTGTCTCTCTCTGTTAGAGGTCGGCCCCATTTGTCACGATAAAAGGCGTACAGACCAGCAGTAAACCCCTGAAATACAGTGAAACTTTAGATTCATCAAAAATGTTTTTCTTTCACTATACATTTTCTCTTATAGTCAAGCTTTTAATTGATGTAGTAAATCTGTTTTAACTTTATATCAAAATAAGAGTCTGCTGTAACAGGGGTATTTACAAAATGTACAAATGTATATTTATGTACCAAAGCATTGAAAATAACATACAAAGAAATTAGTTGACGGTGAAGGGGCATTAACAATGTACAACATAACTAATTCCGCTTTTCACAGTCACACAAACTACCACTGACCTTTGTTTCTTTTTTGGTTTGGTTTCAGTGACATAATTATATACTATTGATAAACACTGCTGTCACACTGCCAACTTCAAACTCAACTGGAACAAAAGACATTGTGTACCTCTCCGTGAATTATTTCAGGCACCAACAGGCACTCTGGTGCCACCCACTGGTAAAAAGCCGACACTGAATTTATTGACTATTTTTTTCAGTATCATAATTATAATCTATGGTAGGCATTGAAATGTTGATAAATTTTTATAATAAAGATAATAAATACAATGTACATACTAATGCATGAAGAATCTCATGTTTTATTGTGTAAAGAAGTTCCTCATGTTTATGTATACTGGTTGACACACTTCTTGGACATATACTGAAATAACCAGCCACTGGTCTGAAAAAGTGAGAGGTAATATTTAATATAAATATGTATGCAATAAGCTCCTATTGCATGGTTTAAAAAGATAATTTTGTCAATTTATGTTCTGTTCTGCATTTTAAAAGCCTTTTATGCCTCAGAAATTCTACCAATTTTATTTCTCAAAAAACTTCAAATTTTTGGGATCTTGTTACAGTTTTCAAAGTAATACTCATTTGCCATATACATGGACTACCTTTGAAACTATAGCTCTGTTGGCATTTTGCATTGAAGTCAAAAACTACTTCCTTTACATATTGCTACCTTAACAAAATATTACTTCACATTCAGCGCTACTTTCTTAAATTGTTTTACACCTAACATGCACTAAATCCATTATTCAAACACTATTGAGCACATGTTTGACATTTCTAAAGAACTGAAAATTATTGATCTCTGCAGCATAATGTGCCTTTAAACATTTGGAAGACAACTGCTATAATGTATAATTCAAAATTTACTTGTGGTGAAACAGACCTAACATTTAATTACTTTGTAACAATTTTTATTAAAGGCATTTAGCTGAAGAAAAAAAACCAGGTAAACTTGCTGTGAACTTACCGATCAAGTTGCTGTTCTTGTTGACAATGTGCAGCAAAGGCGACAGTTTTCTGCCAGGAACATTTGTCGGAGGACAGTGCTGCCACATAGAGAATAAAGCTAGCGTTCACACCTGGCATGGTGTCTGGTGGAGAATAGTACTCGTTCCCGATACGATCATACCACTCACAACTCTGTAAAATATTACAATAAAGATTATTTTCATTTCTCAACTGCAAGATATTTACGATAATTTTGACACATTTAACCTCCTTACAAAATGGAAAAGCCCAATCCTGTTCCTGTTGTTTCTATGTCATGCCCTGGGCTTGACATGCAACTCATTTCTATCATTAAAGAAATTGACTTATAATTGAGCTGCAAACAGTTTAAACTACACTGTATTCTGAGATAGCTGAACATGTACTTAATTGGTGGTATAGGTAATTGTAGCTAACTGAAAAAGACCTCGTGAATTTCAAATGCTGCATCATTTTGAAGTTTGCAATATTAATGAATTATCATTAGGTTAATCACAGCTTTAATTACACAACATGATATAGCATCCAATCCTTGTTATCAAAGCTGTTGGCTAATCAAGTCTTAAAACATAATATTTTTTATTATATATAACAAATAAAATCATAATAAATTTGTTACCCGTAGATGTGAGGTTGGCACCCTTATATCACCACATCTTGTCTCTGTAGCACAGCCGTCTGAGCAGTAACGTACCCCATCATAATATCTTACAGTATCTGTCTTACATCGCCTAATTAACATATTAATTCACCTAATTTACATTATTCAAAATAAGCTAAAAATAACACTTAAAAGATAGTCAGATTGGTCTGTCCCTAATTTCATAACTTAATATGATCACTGCTGACAAAGTGAAATTGTATGCATGTATACACCTAACTGTCAATTAACCAAAGTGTTTTGAAAATAGGAACTTAATTTTAACAATCAGGATTACTGGATCCACACTAAATTTGTAAAACAGATTTCTTCCTGCTTTAAATTTGGAATTGTTCATTTTAAATGTGACTTCTAATAACAAAATATTATAATTTATCAGCCAACAGTATAGAACCTGCTCATACTGCACTGATGAGCAAACTGACTTGATTCTATGATACTGGAATGATTTTATCAATAATAATGTAATGTGTAAATTATTTACACACACTGCTGTATGAGTAATTTTATATAATATTCATATGAAATCATTCTGCATTTTGGTATTTTTGCTTTAATCAATGTATCAATAGCCTCAAATTAGAAATATTACTAATGGCATATTACCTGTTTAAAAGTATATTAGCACTAGTTGGATACACCATTAAAGTATCTTCCCAGAATGCAACAGCATCATGAACTTTTCCCTGAAATATAAAGTAACAAAATTTCATTTTACAACAAAAATAAGATCATAAAATAATTCAACGTAATTCTACAAGATTAAAGGGACTCCACGGAGGTTTTTATGCATAACAGGACTCAAAATATTTTCACCAGATTTGTAAACCATTTGATTTAAGTCTGAACAAGCAAATTTTCAGATCATTCCCTTCACTCTATTTTCCAGAATATTCATTTTTATTGTGCAAAATGACCCCAAAAGGAAAAGCGTTTCAATGCTTTTCAATCATATTGGGAACGGAATCACACAAAAATCAATTTTCTATTATTAGACTGTTAGGTTATTTCCCAGATTTTCCCTTTTTATGTGCTTCACTTGATCTATGTAAAAAAATCAAAATTTTATATTTATAGACTTTCTGACCTCAGTGGAGTTCCTTTAATATTATCAAACTTCAAACATTTTTCTTGGAATTAAAGTACTCTGGTTTCATTATACAGTCATGTACATGTAATAAATAAAATTATATTACTACACAACTTGACTTTCTTATCTTCAAAGTGCCTGTTAAAAAAACAAAACACTAAAAATCAAGGGAAAAAAATACCAAACAAATTATCACATAACAAAAACAGTCATGCAAAAATTACTGAAAACACAGGTTCATTAAGATTTATAGAGATAATACTGGTGTGTGTGGCAACATTCTAGGTAAATACAATACATTATTATCAAGTAAACATCAGTTGTATAGATTCATGTGGTATTTAATCACCAGATCATGACCAGATCATAACCAGGTTCCTGCACACACATGATAACAAGATAGCCTGCAAAAACAACCTTGCTAACAACATCCTTTTTTTTGTCTTTTTTTTTTATTGTAAGGAATATAAAATAGTCTGTGTCTTAAAGTATATAAAGCTATAAGTATATCTATTGCTTGTAGTTTACAAAACTATTGTTTGAATTTTGAAAAACAATACTTCCAAAACACATGTATGAAAGAAATATGTTTATTTGTTGGTATATTTCCTTTGGAGAGATTGGCACATTATCAAAATCATTGCAAAATGATTGAAATATTTCTAAAAATAGCAGTATAATAATTATATTGTTCTGATGTGACTAAGAAACATGTATTCTGTTAACATACACTGTTCATGTGTGTTAAATAACGGGGACAGCCTATTATGGAAACAACATAATTTTAACTTTAAGCATTAACAAATTTTTCAAATATTAAATATATTGATACATGTAGATACAGCTATATACCCTTTATTTAACAAGCTCCAACTGTGTAGAGCCTGGTCAGACTGCACAGAATGATGTTCAGGCTGGCCTGGTTCTATATTGGTAGCGAAGGCAAATCAGTTTTGGTACCAGGAGGCTATGGGTAAAGAAAGGACTACGACAGACATATAACTGGTATGAAACTAACTTCTCAGAATAAATTTGCCATCTAATGGGTAAAACAATCTAAAATTTAATGACATTTTCTTTAATTCATTTTCTTAACATGGGGGACATCTTAACATGGGGGACACAAATGATGATCTGATATTATACAGTATTTTAAATTCAATTCTGGAAGTAAAATATCTGATATTCAAAATTCATTATTAATTTAATCGCCTCTACCGACAATTACCCACGAACAGGATATTCCACTTTGTTTGAAGCATACAAAATTAATCATAATAATTTCAATATGCAGAGCCATTCAACAAAAGATCATGTTCCAAAGTCATGTCAGAATTTTTATTTTATTTTTTTTGGCAAATATATTATATCTAAATATAACTACATGTACATGATTGTACTAATGACTTTTAAGATTTCACAGTGTAAAGGTTGATAGATGGTAGAAAAAATGCCAATACTACATTCCTTAGAGGAGAACCTAAAACATACAATACAATGAAAAAATGTAATAATCTTTATAAAAGAGTAACAAGCAGGTTATTGTAAGTCTTTGATGCAGGTTTTTTAAATTCACTTGGTTTAAAAAAAAATATATATGAATATTAAAGGTATTGTGTATCTTTTCTGACATCTTCATAAAACAAGCTTAAATGTCAGGAATTAAAAAGAGTATTTTATCTATTACACTAAGTATGATATCTTAAAAAACCACTTACATTAATTTTTAATAAAACTATTTAAAAAAAAAAAAAAAAGAAAAAGAAAAAAAAAAAGATTAAAATCAGACAGTTATATGTCTGTTAAAAAAAATTCAACATTAACTCTAAGAAATACATAAATAAGATTATGTCATATGTGGCTAATGAGTGGACTAATTTTTGTGCTTATAACTTTTGCCTAATTTCCTCCTTTAGTTCATTATACAGTTAATTTTATTGTTTTTATTTTACCAATAAAATAACAGATGGGGCATTTATGAAAATAAAGAATGGTGCATTAATTACAGTGTTTACAGTAATTTGTAAAGGATACTCACCTTTATGAGTCTTTGATGTTCAAGTGGAAGTCTATTTATGCTACTGTCAAAATATAGGTGAATCTTTAAAGGTTGACTAGGGCTGCGCTTGTGAATATCATGTTCATGATTTAACCTTACATCATATATAAACTGAAATATAATAATAAAATACTGAAATATAAAAATAAAATACTGAAATAATAATAATAAAATACTGAAATATAATAAAAAAATACTGAAATATAATAATAAAATACAGTAAAATCTGAATGAGGGGTCACACCTGCACAACAGCCAATTTGTATACAACAGTCAGCTAAAGTCCGCCCATGTATTTTCCTTCTTTAAACAAATTGTGTATAATGAATTAATATATGCAAAATGAATAAAATGAAATAAAATTTGAAATTAATACACTCAGGTTGTTTTATGTCTTATTGGAAATACAATGCATGTTTATTGCAAAAATACATGTACATACATGTACGTACATGTACATGAATTACATACTATACATTTATTTTTATAAACAACACTTTAAAGAGATTGTACTATGCACACCAGCCACTTCTACTGTACTCAGATTTGACTGTACATGTAAAAATAGCTCTTTAAACTTTATCCCTTACGACAGTAAATACATGTATCTTTAAAGGACTCATGAAATTGTCCATCTTTCAATCTAGACAAAAACATGTCATTATTGTAAGGGAAAATTTCAAAATACAGTTTATAGTTTATTTATGTATGTACTAATTGCCAGCTAAGAGTTAAAGTAATTATGGCTAGTGACTCATCATTATGTTATTTCACATTAATTCATAAATAAATAGACATGATTAAACAGATGGTTAAAAAGATATAGAGGAAAAAGAAGCAAAACCTTAATTTATACATGTATATATTCATTGAAAAAACTTCCACCCAAATTACTTTTTTTTTTTAAATTCAAAGTGGTTTGGTAATTACTTTTTTTTTAATGCAAATATATGAAAATAGTTCCTGATTTCTTTTATTATGAAATTATTTTTTTCTCCATTAATCTACTTTTCTTTTTCAGAACACAACCACTAGAAAAATATAGCTGTGTATAAATAATACATAAATATGCAAAAAAATACATCTACCGGTAAATAGGAAAACAGACTTTTTATGTTTTATAGAATAACAAACTAAAATTTTGACATAATCAGGGTGTGTTCCTAACAAAAATAATGAGCTGAATGAAATTCTAGACAAAAAATCCTCTTTTCTCACAAATAAAAAGTCTGAGGTGTTGAAAATTCTGTTTATCTTTCAACATTTCTACACCACGCCTTAATAAAATCTGAATTTATCTTTTCACCCCTCCTTCTCTCCCCGTTTAATTTATCAGATTTCTCTACAAAAGACTGCTTGTTAAATTTTGTCCTAGATTCTAAACAAGCATGAAAAATATACCATTAATGATTACTTAATAATACATGTACACATATTTATACAATAATAATTATAATATATACATTAATATAATATTTATAATTTAGTATACAAACCCTTTGATTATCGGGATCTTGGTAATCAACCTCCACTCCATTACCATAGCAACCAGCAATAACCACAGTAAACAGTAAAACCAGCATAGTAAATCTCCCTTTTTCTTTCTTAGTTGATGAACCTATCCTTTTTGACACAGATAAACAATTTCCGCCAAACAATTAACACCTTTTCATCAGCATAAAAACTCTCCAAAATAATTACAGCATTCTCTCTCTTGATTCCATGCCTTATTAGACACTCTCTCTCTTGTAAAACTTCAAGGTAAGTTCTGCCAACTTGTTACAGCCACTCTTGACTCATTTTCTCTGTTCTCAGTTATTACTATATCATAGGTAATTATCGTGCTGATTAAAATTCTACAGAAATTATATGCACCACTTTTGTATTAGTTTACACTGAATAGGTTATTTTTTTTATCACAATATCACTTGAAAAGGTCTGAGACTGAGTCTTAATAATATTTTTTCAAAAACATGCCAAAAAATATGTTATTATTGTATACAAATTAAAAATCCCGTTCAGATTTAATCTTCCGCATAACTGTTTGTACTTACAGTACCACTGTACTTCCAGTACAACTATTTAAGAACACTCTGTGTATAATTCATAAACGCACAATGTCTCCACCGAAATTATGTCCCCATTTTCTTAAGTATGTGGTGACAATTTGACTCGAAATAACAGGCCCGAAGTGGAAATTTCCTGCAGAATTAATGCTTGTATAGTTTATAGATCTATATACTGCATAATTGTCACATTTTTGGTCATGATTTTTGCTACACCTTGTAATCTGAAATATAAAAACAAAACTTTTACTTTACTTTAATTACCCTCTACCGGTACTTGTAATTAATAATTAAGAAGTCATGCCATTAGTGCCTACAAATAAAAGTTAGTCTTTAGTTAGCTGTCTTTAAACAAGAGCTGTCGGTAGGACAGCAACGCTCGACTATTCTTATTGCTTGATAGTAAAAAAAAATGCTTGATACAGTTACCTCCTCCTGTTTACAGGTTGGGGTAATGATGGTGAACAAGTGTGCAAAGTTTCAAAGCCATATGTCAATGAACTTTGAAAATATTTGAGGTATTACAAAAACTTTAACATAAATTCTAAGTCGAAAAAGGGGCATAATTCTGTCAAAATGCTTGATAGAGTTACCTCCTCCTGTCTACAAGTTGGGGTCATGATGGTGAACAAGTGTGCAAAGTTTCAAAGCCATATGTCAATGGACTTGGAAAATATTTGAGGTATTACAAAAACTTTAACATAAATTCGAAGTCGAAAAAGGGGCATAATTCTGTCAAAATGCTTGATAGAGTTACCTCCTCCTGTCTACAGGTTGGGGTCATGATGGTGAACAAGTGTGCAAAGTTTCAAAGCCATATGTCAATGGACTTTGAAAATATTTGAACTATTACAAAAACTTTAACATAAGTGGTTACGCCGACGCAGACGCCGACGCCCGGGTGACTGCAATAGCTCTACTTATTCTTATCGAATAGTCGAGCTAAAAATGTAAGGATAAGCCAGTCTATATAAATGTAGGGCAAACCAGTCTGTACAAAGAAAGGTTCAGTCAGTCTACTAACAAAACAAGAGAGCAATGACTACCCTTATATTGCTCACCTGATTACAAATGCAATGGTATCTAATTCTATGGAAGTCAACCACAATAAAAGCAATTATTTTACAATCCACAGACAGTATACATAGATTTAAACTTTTTGAGCATCATTCAATAATTTGACCTTAATGGTCTAGTTAATTTAAAGTTCAAGGTCATAGTTATTTGAATGATTTAACATGTAGGTTTTGTGATAAACTTTCTTTCATCAAAGTATGAATCAAATTTATTAATAAAAAACAAAATTAGCAAAATATCAAAATAAAAAGATGTGACCTTGTATATCTTAAAGCAGCACACCTTTAGATTTATGTTAATTTCTATGAAAATTTTGGAAATGTATTTAAAAGTAAAATATTGTGAGGTGAACAAATAAAGTAATTTGCATATTGCAATCGGCAGTTACAATCCAAGAAAATTACCATAAAGTCGTCATCATATGCAATAAAAGCCCTTACTGCATTAGTGACACAGTAGAAATAAAGTAATAAAATACTGCAAAATCAGTCTTAAACTGCAAATAACATGTAAAATTTAACTTGTACTGAATGTCTTTACCTTTCTTAAAATTTCAGTACATTTTTCTCATGTTGATTTTCTTAAAATATTTTGGCTCATCATTAATATCATGTGAGAGTGTGAAGATGACTGAGGCATGTGGTGCTCTGGTTACAGTCTGGTGAGCTAAAAGATCCATAAATTTTGGGTGTTTAATAAAAATACTACTCTATTTGTTATATTTGTTAAGCTATAATAGAATCTTGTATAAAACATGTAGAATCTATGTGAAGCAGGTATTTCCCTTGAAAAATATTTAGTAACATACTGTATTCCTAGAAATGTTCGCGGATACAATATTTCGCATTTTTCACAACATCGGCATTTTCGCGGAGACAAACTTTCGCGGATTTGTAGTAACCGCAAATTCCGCGAAATTTTAGTTGCTACGGCCTAAATTACAATTTTTGGAGGCTACGTTTTTCATGCATGACATTGCCTGTTTGGAACTTTTAATTCATTTATTTTGACAAGTAGTGCCTTAAACGCTATGTTACTCGATACATTTTCATCTATTGACTAGTAAAACACGGAAGGTTGTTCTATGAACACTTTTTACTTATTTCCTTACCTTTTTCACTATGTGATTAAGTAAGATTTAGTTAGACCAGTTAGTTTTTATTCTCATTTGAATCATAATTGACTTTATCTTCAAAATGTTGATACCTAATGTTTTTACACCTAAAAAACGGAAAGAATTGCTGATCCTTTGGAAATATTGTTTCCTACTTGTAGTTCGAGTGATGATTCTGTGATATAACAACATAACAGCTGTTTATCAATGTAGCACTTGCTTGCTCAGGGCTCACACTGGCTCAAATAAAATAATAGCCAATATTTTCAACTTAAAAAAATAATAGCCAAAAGTTCAGCGGACTATTCACGAATTAGCGATTAACAACATAAGCAGTTGATTAAATAAACATTACATTTATATAAAACTTCTTTCAGTTTTATAAGGATTCTCAAATAAACTGATACATTTGTGTATATTGATAACTACCTTTTTTAAAATAGAACCACAACTTTAATTCTTATTATAGAACAGAATAAAGACGTTATAATTAGTATAATTACTGTTTAACAATAATATTAAAGATTCATTATAATTTTACATAATGCTGTTATCAGACAACTTCTTTTGTTTGTTCTAATCAAATTTTGTCAGCTATAACCACTGTCAATTTCCACATTTCACACAGAATTGGAGAAGATCTAGGTCATATTAGCCTATAGAAATAACACAAGTTTGCAAACTCATTTACAGAATGCTGCCTTTTTTCTGAATAATTTACTGAAAAATATCATTATCACCAATGTAATACAAATTTTCTGCCATAGTAGTAAAGATTTTTAAACAGAACATAGCTTATTGCACCTTTATCGGTGTCACGAAAATATGTGACAATCGGATTTTTTCTATTTTCTGAAGAAATATTCACAATTTTGGTTGTTGTGCAAATAGTTGTTTGGAAGTTAATACTTTTTAAATATTTTACCATTGTTTTCCACTGGCGATTTAGTCAAGTAGCTTAAAATTAAAAAAATCAAAATTTGCAATTCACAGTAAATTTTGGGTAAGTCAATATACAGTTTATCAATTGTAAAACGATTTTTGTGGCTAATTGACAGATATTTGATGGCTATTATAAATGCTGGACAATATCTTTAAAGTACTTATACAATTATACATCTATTATACATCTTGCATGTATTTTATCACCTCGGGCAATATAGTAAGCAGCACGTGACCGGTAAAAAGTTGACACTCAATTAAATCCACCTCGCTGGTGTTATTTAGGTCTACTGCATTCTTTATCGATTTTTACACCTTATATAAACACTGTTGGAAGTAAAAAATAATCGCCAGATTTTGTAGCCAAAATGCAAAAATAATCGCTAATCTTATAAACTAATCGCAAATCGCGACTATGGTGACCGACAGCATGAGCCCTGCTTGCTACTATCCTTTTAACAAAGGATTACACCTACTAGAAGCAAATAAAATCCAAGTCATTCAATGTACGCAAACTGTAAATGCTTTTGTATACACCATGACAAACGAATAACGTCAATAAGCATGATAATGACTAAAAAAAACATTTTTTTTCAATGTGCTGGGATTGACAAATATGCACTTTATTTGGATTTTAAAGGCGTTTTTAGCTCCACACCACCAGTGTCTGTGCTGGCAGCTGTAATAAGATGCCATTAAAAGAGGCGTTTTTAATTCCAGAAATGAGTTTGACAATTTAGCAATTTAAACAACAAAAACAAGATAAGCAACACCCAACACCCTTCATTCTCCGTTTAAAATCTTTAAGAAAGATTTGAAATGTTTGGTTCGAAACAGCTTGAGGTCGAAACAGCCAGCTTAAATTTAAAACGTATCTAAACCCACAAACGCTATATAATTATTTCAATGAATACTTGATAAACAATAATACTTATCAAAATGATCATCAACAATTTTAAGCAGTACAGGATTGGAATAAAATAGGAAAACGAAAATTATATGTACTGGTCGGAGAGATAACTCCGACGCATAGATAACCCCGACACTTGATAAATATAATTGTTTTAGCTTTGTTTTTCAACAAATAAGCACATGCTCACCTAACAGTATAGGAACAGGACAGAATGTGATGATTTGTTATAATTTGGTAGACTTTTTAATGTTTTTCAAATAACCTAAACTTTTTGTAGGCAAAAACTGCTTCAAAACGTTCTTTTTACTAAATTACAGTAAGGTAGTTAGAAATGTATTGACCACAGGCCACTGACTTGGGAAAGATTTTTGAAAAATTGTTTAAATATTTACAAAAAATAGATAAACCATATAAGATGTAAAAATAAATTATTGATGCTGATTTTCCAGTCATTTTTTACTTAAAAATTTAAGTGTCGACTTTATCTACTGTTGTGGGGTAAAAAGACCATGTTTTGTATACCTCATTCGGTAATGTAACGATTCGCCACACTAACGATTCGCCACATAACGATTCGACACAGAGTAATAACGATTCGCCACGTGTTCAAATACAAACTTTTTCACATCTGTTTTCAAACTGTTGATGGAAAACTTTTTTCCATTTTATATTTCATTTGTTAATTACATAAATTAATTACACTAAATACACATTTTATTGAATAAAAACACACGAAAACCAAATATTTTATTAACAAAATTACATAACACATTTTATAACTTCGTTATTTATATAAACTGGAAAAATATACGTGTACGTATATTTAGTTTGTCTTGAATTTCTGAATATATTTAAATGCCATTATGTTTGTAATGTTTTGTACACGGACAATCTTTAAATATGACATTTTTTAAATGGATAAGTCATGCCTTCTACTACTTTTAACGTCTTTTCTAGTAGATGTTTTCATTGCCTTCTTAAGTTATAGCCATACCTACAATTAGAAGAACTTCTTACGAATACAAACATGATTCTGATTTCGTTATTTTTCGTTTGTATACTATTTTATGTATGTGTTTAAGCTATTTAAACCCTCTTAATCGGCATATATCGGCTCGCTCAAATTAATTTGTAAACAAACATAAGCTTAATTGCCGCATTGTTTTGAAATCTGAATACATTGTCAGATAATTAAAGGATAATTTCGGCGTCAATTAAATATTTCTACAACAATCCTATGGTGATTGGCTTGTTTAAATTAAAGGTGTGACAAATGTTTTACATATGCGTTCTTTAATCAATTATCGTAAATCAATTTTCGTATGAACACATGTTTTCGCAATACTTTGTTTAAATATTTGACATATATTATAATATATGAACTATATATTTATAATTTATATATAAATATTAATTGACATATACTTATGTTTATGAGTAATTCAATAATTATTTCAACATATAATTACCTTCTTGTTAATGTACTCCTGTAATAATGTTACTTTGATAAATTGAAAATCCGCGATGGGGGCCTTAACTTCATATTACTTGTATTAAGAAACATTATTAAATTATTGTCATTGTCAAATTATTAAAACAAAAGGAAAAAGTTTGTTGATTACTAAAAAATCATTGTTATAATCATACTGTGGCGAATCGTTATTTAACTGTGGCGAATCGTTATTACTCTGTGGCGAATCGTTATGTGGCGAATCGTTAGTGTGGCGAATCGTTACTAATTCCCTCATTCAATACCTTAAAGAAGTACCAGATTCCATTTTTATACATAGTTTTTGTGGTGTAATCATGGTAATGTAAAGTGTTTGAACTGAACTTTGATTAGGTGGTTCAATATTTAAAATATACTGGAAGATAATTAAAATATTGCAAAAAATATGTGATTTAGTGTCGGAGTTATCTCTCCAACCAGTACACTTTTTAAGCAGTACAGGATTGGAATAAAATAGGAAAACGAAAATTATATGTACACTTGCGATCCGTATACTTGTTGTTGTTGTTGGTATGATGATCACAAGCGTCTGTTAACCACGGCGAATTTGGACTGCTTCTCAGACATTTCGTTTAACAGAGGTGACTCGCTTATAGATCTGTGACACAGACAAATCGTATCCAAGATCACAAAATGGGGTTAAAACTTTATATCAACTCACTCAGATATAAACGCTATCAACCTTCTCAGCATGACCAATTTAACTCCGCCTTACGTTTAACTCTTTACAGTTTTACTTTGAACAGAAACTCTAGATTAAATTACTCGGTAATAAAAGAAGTTATTCATTAATAAACCATTAATATAAAGCATTGAGTAATAGTTTACTGTACAAAATGATTCAACAGGATAGAAGCGATATTAAAAAAGTAAAACAGTGAAAAACAGAATCGCTGTATTTATATACATATAGATCGATTTTATTGGCACGAAACATTTTTTGTTTTTTGTTGTTGTTGTTGTTGTTTTTTGTTTGTTTTTGTTTGTTTTTTTTTTTGTTTTTTTATAGGGGGAGGGGGGGGTCAAATTTTGTAATTCTGTATTAACTAACCAGTGGAACTGAAAAAACCAAAGCACCATTTTTTTTAAAGCAATTGTATCAAATCGACTGAAAAGGTTGATGCCGATATTTCACCAAAAAATAAGAAAAAATATTAAATTTTCTACGCAATTTTTAGATTTTATATAGATCTGGGACTTGAAATATACATACATACATATTTTAAGTCCCAGTATCTATAGATCTATAGATTATTAATTGAGCTTGAACATTATTAAACTAATATGCGATTAATTAAACAGGCACCTAACTCAGAAAACTTTTATGCAGTAGATCTAGATATTAAAGTAAAAAATCGACTGAAAAGGTTGACGTGCAATTTCTCAGGATAACTTACAAAATGTAGAAAAAATTTCATATCTTTTTTAAACAGTCTAACGTGAGTGTTAATTGAACATATAAATGACTTACATTTAAAATGACTTAACACATACTTAAATTCTCTTCTTTAACTGTCGAAGTATTACGCTATTTACTAAATAATTCGGCTGAAAAGGTTGATGCAGATTCTCACAACAGGAATCATTGTGATTAATTCACAGTGAAGTTCGCCTTACCTGAGTATATATGAACAATGATCAGAATTAATCAGATTATTAAGTCCTTTTTCCATTAAATGTATGAATGAAGCAGCTAATTTCTGTACAAAATATATTATATTGTGACAAATCGGCTGAAAAGGTTGATGCCGAAATTCCACTAAAGAAAGAGCAGAAATGACTATATTTTAAATGATTATTAAACAGTATGTTTTGATTATTCAACTTAAACATTATTTAACTGTATCATACATTTGATAGGCCAATATTTTTAACACAATACCTTCTACTTTGCCTTGAGCGATATACTAAATAAATACTAAATAAATTCGGCTGAAAAGGTTGATACCGAAAATTCACTATAGAAAAATGAGAAATAATTAGATTTCAAACGATAATTAAAAATTATGTTTAGATTTTATTTTGAACATTGTTTAACTGTATATAAATTATACAGGCGAATATTTTAGCACATTCATTACAATTTCTCTACTTTGCCTGAAGCGATATGGTAAATAATTATAATTCGGCTGAAAAGGTTGATGCCGAAATATCACTATAGAAATAAAAGAAATGATTAGATTTCAAACAATTCTTAGAAATTATGCTTAGATTATTCAATTTCACCATTAATAAATTGTATTATGTCTCTGATTGGCAAATATTCTTAACAACTTACTTAACATTATTTGATGCATTAATAAATCATCTGAAAAGGTTGATGCAGTTTTCTAACCATTACTTGCGATGTTGTTCTATTATTGTTCGTCATCTGGTAAAGACAATCTAAAGTGACCTTTTTCACAACAGTTCAATTGACTTGAAACACATAATTACATTTTTTTTACTTTACCTGAAGCGATATGCTATATACTTATAATTCGGCTGAAAAGGTTGATGCAGATTTTCTCAACAAGAAAAGTGAGATGATGAACATATCTCAATTCATTCAACAGTTAGTCTTACCTGAAGTTAAGATTTTAACAAATTATAAAGCCCTTTTTCATTCAAGGTATGATTGAAGCAGCTAATTTCTGTAAAAATATATTATATTGTGACAAATCGGCTGAAAAGGTTGATGCCGAAATTCCACTAAAGAAAGAAAAGAAATGACTATATTTTAAATGATTATTAAACAGTATGTTTAGATTATTCAAATTAAACATTATTTAACTGTATCATAAATTTGATAGACAAATATTTTTAACACAATAATTACTATTTTTCTACTTTGCTTTGAGCGATATGGTAAATACTTATAATTCGGCTGAAAAGGTTGATGCTGAAATTCCACTAAAGAAAGAAAAGAAATGACTATATTTTAAATGATTATTAAACAGTATGTTTTGATTATTCAACTTAAACATTATTTAACTGTATCATACATTTGATAGGCCAATATTTTTAACACAATACTTTTCTACTTTGCCTTGAGCGATATACTAAATAAATACTAAATAAATTCGGCTGAAAAGGTTGATACCGAAAATTCACTATAGAAAAATGAGAAATAATTAGATTTCAAACGATTCTTAAAAATTATGTTTAGATTTATTTTGAAAATTGTTTAATTGTATATAAATTATATAGGCGAATATTTTAGCACATTCATTACTATTTCTCTACTTTGCCTGAAGCGATATGGTAAATACTTATAATTCGGCTGAAAAGGTTGATGCCGAAATATCACTATAGAAATAAAAGAAATGATTAGATTTCAAACAATTCTTAGAAATTATGCTTAGATTATTCAATTTCACCATTAATAAATAGTATTATGTCTCTGATTGGCAAATAATCTTAACACCTTACTTAACATTATTTGCTGCATTAATAAATCATCTGAAAAAGTTGATGCAGTTTTCTAACCATTACTTGCAATATTGTTCTATTATTTTTCGTCATCTTGTAAAGACAATCTAAAGTGACCTTTTTCACAACAGTTCAATTGACTTGAAACACATAATTACATTTTTTTTTACTTTACCTGAAACGATATGCTATATACTTATAATTCGGCTGAAAAGGTTGATGCAGATTTTCTCAACAAGAAAAGTGAGATGATGAACATATCTCAATTCATTCAACAGTTAGTCTTACCTGAAGTTAAGATTTTAACAAATTATAAAGCCCTTTTTCATTCAAGGTATGATTGAAGCAGCTAATTTCTGTAAAAATATATTATATTGTGACAAATCGGCTGAAAAGGTTGATGCCGAAATTCCACTAAAAAAAAAAGAAATGACTATATTTTAAATAGTTATTAAACAGTATGTTCAGATTTCAAATCAAACATTATTTTAACTGTATCATGAATTGATAAACAATATTTTAACACAATAATTACTAATTTTCTACTTTGCCTTGAGCGATATGGTAAATATTTATAATTCGGCTGAAAAGGTTGATGCTGAAATATCACTATAGAAAGAAAAGAAATGATTAGATTTCAACTAATTCTTAGCAATTATGCTTAGATTATTCAACTTCACCATAAATAAATTGTATTATATCTCTGATTTGCAAATATTCTTAACACCTTACTTAACATTATTTGATGCATTAATAAATCATCTGAAAAGGTTGATGCAGTTTTCTAACCATTACTTGCAATATTGTTCTATTATTTTTCGTCATCTGGTAAAGACAATCTAAAGTGACCTTTTTCACAACAGTTCAATTGACTTGAAACACATAATTACATTTTTTTTTTACTTTACCTGAAACGATATGCTATATACTTATAATTCGGCTGAAAAGGTTGATGCAGATTTTCTCAACAAGAAAAGTGAGATGATGAACATATCTCAATTCATTCAACAGTTAGTCTTACCTGAAGTTAAGATTTTAACAAATTATAAAGCCCTTTTTCATTCAAGGTATGATTGAAGCAGCTAATTTCTGTAAAAATATATTATATTGTGACAAATCGGCTGAAAAGGTTGATGCCGAAATTCCACTAAAGAAAGAAAAGAAATGACTATATTTTAAATGATTATTAAACAGTATGTTCAGATTATTCAAATCAAACATTATTTTAACTGTATCATGAATTTGATAGACAAATATTTTTAACACAATAATTACTAATTTTCTACTTTGCCTTGAGCGATATGGTAAATACTTATAATTCGGCTGAAAAGGTTGATGCTGAAATATCACTATAGAAAGAAAAGAAATGATTAGATTTCAACTAATTCTTAGCAATTATGCTTAGATTATTCAACTTCACCATTAATAAATTGTATTATATCTCTGATTTGCAAATATTCTTAACACCTTACTTAACATTATTTGATGCATTAATAAATCATCTGAAAAGGTTGATGCAGTTTTCTAACCATTACTTGCAATATTGTTCTATTATTTTTCGTCATCTGGTAAAGACAATCTAAAGTGACCTTTTTCACAACAGTTCAATTGACTTGAAACACATAATTACAATTTTTTTACTTTACCTGAAGCGATATGCTATATACTTATAATTCGGCTGAAAAGGTTGATGCAGATTTTCTCAACAAGAAAAGTGAGATGATGAACATATCTCAATTCATTCAACAGTTAGTCTTACCTGAAGTTAAGATTTTAACAAATTATAAAGCCCTTTTTCATTCAAGGTATGATTGAAGCAGCTAATTTCTGTAAAAAATATATTATATTGTGACAAATCGGCTGAAAAGGTTGATGCCGAAATTCCACTTAAGAAAGAAAAGAAATGACTATATTTGAAATGATTATTAAACAATATGTTTAGATTATTCAACTTAACCATTATATAACTGTATCATAAATTTGATTGGCATATTTTTAACACAATAATTACTATTTTTCTACTTTGCCTTGAGCGATATACTAAATAAATACTAAATAAATTCGGCTGAAAAGGTTGATGCCGAAATTTCACTATAGAAAGAAAAGAAATGATTAGATTTCAAACGATTCTTAAACATTATGTTTAATTTCTTTTAACATTGTTTAACTGTATATAATTTATATAGGCGAATATTTTAGCACATTCATTACAATTT